GGAGGTCACTCAGTCATAGCAGATTGGACAGCAAGTGAGAAGGCAGGTGAGGTAATATCTTTTATTGGACCGACTTCTGTTGGTGAGAGAGAGACGCTTTCAAGCAAGTTTCAGAGTAGCAGCTGTGTTAGTCTGTATTCGCAAAAAGAACAGGAGTCCTTGTGGCACCTTAGAGACTAACAAAATAGTCTCTAAGGTGCCACAAGGACTCCTTTTCTTTTTTCAAGCGAGTGGCAGTCTGCAACATGCGGTGCTTTGAATCCTCACAATTCATGATTCGCGGTGTTCAAACGCATGATCAGATCGCTGCGGGGTGTAGGCAGGCATATGCTATGTATGCCAGATAGTATAATAATTTCTCAAGGTCAGAGTTACTCATGACAACTGACAGATTTTTTTCTAGCTGGGCTTCTGTTAACATTACTACAGATCTGTGTCTAACTGTGTATGCATTGTTATTATCATTATTTAGTGTATGTGTTACACTAGCACCCAGGGGCTCCAGTCATGGCTGGAACTCTGTTGTGCTGGGTGCTGTACAAACATAAAAGGCAGTACCTGCCCCATCTAAATATAGTTACCGGTGGTCCTATTGTGAGTAATGGCATGCCTGCCTGGGGAATTATGGGTATGCTACAGGTGAGATAATGGCCATGGATGGTCAGTGAGGACACAGATTTCAATTTACTAGCAATCACCCTAACTACAAGCAAGAATTACAGCCTAGAAGAGTCAGGCACAAGCTTTTTCAATTCTCAAATTTAAAAAAAAGTCTGGTGGAGCAGGCTGGAAAAATCACAATTGAAAACAAAGAGTGAGATTTACACTTCAGTGATAGTTGTCAGGAAAGCAAATGTCCGGGACCACACATTTTCAGGTGCACCAATACTAGGGCCAGAAATAGCCACAGACATGCAGATGACCCAGGACCATAAACACTCAAGAGCGCAGATGCACAGGACCACAAATAGCTTGTTTTCAGGTTCATCAATGCCCAAGATCACAGATACCCATCTCCCCCTTTGCACTGGCAGAGTGGCTGAGAGCAGTGGAGATGGATTTGCTCACATTCCATAGCTGGTCACAATTTAGGACTAAGGAGCCAGGGGGATGGGATGGGGTTCAGGGGACTGTTCCTCACTGTAGCTCACATTCCCTCTCGTGGTCCAAGTTTGTTAGCATTCCGAACACTTCTGGACATGCACCTTTTTTCCAAACCTGTGATGGATGGTTCTAAACTGCAGCACAGTCTCTTCCTCCTTGCTTTGCTGATTTATAAATTGATGGTGATTCTCTGCAACATCCAGAAGCCAGCAGTTATTGAAATTAGATGCCATCATGATAGGCACATGTTCGAAACAAGGAAAGGTTAAAAAAACTGGACATGTTCTTCTTGAGAGAAGATGAATGAGAGGGGGAAGATAGTCTTCAAATATGTTAAGGGCTCTTAGAAAGAGGATGGGGATCAATTGTACCCCATGTCTACTGAAGGTAGGACAAGAAGTAATGGGCTTACATTTCTTTGATTAGATGATTCTATGAAATAAAAGAGAGAGACCACCTTGTTCCTTCCGCTTGTGTGTTATACCCCTTCCCCCACCCTGTATCTGTCTTGTCTGCTTCTAATCTAAACAGGGCATGGACCTTTTCTTTGTTCTGTACCTGTAGAGGGCTAGCACAATGAGGCCTGGTCCAGGACTAGGGCTCTTAGGCACTACGGTAATACAAATAATAATAGATGTAACTAAATAAACACCTAGGGGCACAATTCTCCTGTCCCGGGATATTAGTAACTTTCCATAACTTTTAGTGGAAGTTACTCATATCTCAGGGGAAGTGAGACCCAGGCCCTAGAGCACAAATACTCTGGGGAAGGTATCTGAACATGGGACGGGGGAAGGTGGGTCCATGTGGGCTGGTCTGCCCAGCTCATTTGATTGCTTGGCTGGGATGTGGGGGAATTTCTCCATTTCCAGCCCTTGAGATGATATTCAGTTCAATGCAATTATCTATCCACCAAGAGTCAGATGAAGCTGTAGCTCTGGAGTTATTCTGCAACATGATTTGTGAGATTTTAGTTGCTATAACAACTGAATTAATGCCTCAAAAATAGGAACTTATTTTTCCTTCAATTTGCCTTTTGCCCTCAGAACCCAGTCTATTTTGGTCCTGACAGTTCATTTCAGGTGTCCCTTGCCAATGAATTCTGCAGCCCCACATGCTGCTCCACATGGGGATGGGTTCCCACAGGGACTGCACTTTCAGTTCATTAAGCATTACTTGTCGACTTTTTTCCTTCTCCAAAAATGCCTGTATTATGTCTAATGAAAGGTAAAGGAGCAAATAGACATCACTAAAGAGCTCTGGCAAACGCTTCTCCACAGTCATGAAGGCTGGAGAAGCAATTTGAAATAAATCTCTAAGTGTGAGCAGCAGGTGTCTAGGAGCAGTTCTCAGAAATTATCTGAATGCGAGTGTCAGTTTTGGATCTGGGGCCTGGGTACTGTGGTGCTGACTGCTCATGGTAGGAGAAGTAGATCAGAGAGATGCTATGGCTTTACTCCTTTTCCTTGCCCTCTGACCTGTTTCATCTAAGGGCAAGCTGTAATAAATTTGTCCACTCCATCCCCTTTGGGCTGTGCAGGATACGGCTCCAAATGTAACAAACTGATAACATTTGAGGTATACCCAGGAGTGCTTTGGGCACTATATCAGAGAGTCCTCAGGAAGCCACGCCACTGAGTCAAATTTTAAAAAGTCTCAAACAAGCAAAGAAATGTTGTGCAGAATCACCTATGTATCCCTTTGCTTTCTTTTTCTTGATCACTGGCTGTTGCCCATTGGTTCATGCTGCCCCAATCCTTGACCAATAGGGAAATACATTCTGGTACAGAAATGAACTCCCCCATGGAAACTGTCCTTCTCACATAACTGGATTCTCAAGAAACCTGGCTCTCCTGGCTACACTTCCTGACTGATTGCAGCCAAGGTTCCTGTTGTGATTCAAACAACTGAGATGAGTTTTGAATTTTAGTTGGAGGGAGCGAGGTGGCACGGGGGGTCATTGGAAGCCAAGGTTTAAATCTTCCTGATGTCAACAGTTAAATCAATTTGAAAGTCTTAGCACAGGACTTAGCACTTAACCTAGTACTGCATCACAAAATCACATAGGATTATCATTAGCAGACTTCTAAGAGAAGTTTAGGAATAGAATATCAGGGAATGCTGCACATCAGGACTAAAGCTATGTCTCTACATGGAAGGTAGGGGTGCAATTCCCAGCTTGCATAGACTCGTGCTAGTTCCTATCAAGGTGGTGCGCTAAAATTTGTAGTATAACCACAGAAGCACGGGCTAACTACCCTGAGTATGTACCCACATGGTCCATGCTAGGAGGCTGTACCACTTTAATGATACCATTTTCAAACCAATGTCGTTACAGCAATGCAAAAGCTGTGTGTGGACAAGTCCTTCTATCATTTTAAAACTGGTCATATCCATTTAGATGCTACCTCTACATTTTCAGATGCAAGCTAAACCGATATAAGCCAGGTTTCAATCAGTTTAAGAATGTCCATGCACAAAGCTGCACTGGTTTAACTAGACTGGTTTAAAATCACACCTTATGGCTAAGCTTCCTTTTTTGGCCAAATATTACAAGATGGCCTGGTCTACACACAGAATTGCACCACTTTAACTAAAACTGCTCTACAGATGGATTCAGTTAAACTACTTACATCAAGTTTACATGCAACTGGTTTATATCAACTTGCATTCATACGTAAGAGCAGGGAGCTGGTGCCAAATTCTGCTTTGGGGACATCCGTGTACATGGGGGAACGCCACTGGAGGCAATGGAGTTAGACAGGTATAAAATAGGTACAAGAGGAGAATCTAACCCATTAACTGTTTTCCTGGAACTTCCCTCTGGCATCGGAGCAAAACCAGATCATGTTTCTTCTGACTGGGAGGGTGAGCGCCTTTAAGACCCTGTGCACCTGCAAAAAGGACCTCTTTTGTTGAATGAAAACACACAGGGCTACTCCCCCTCTAACTCTGCTCAGCCTGGCTCCTTCTGTTTGTGGCATTTTTCAGCATCTAAGTTTTTTAGGGGACAGGGGAAGGTAAGAGACATAGATAAGGAGAGGGCTGTTGCCCCTCCACCCCATGGAACATTTAGGGAGGAGGCTGCCCTATGTCAGAACAAACTTCTTTCTTTTTTCCCCTGTAACTGTGCAGGAAGGGAGCAGAGCGAGTGGCGTGCATTTGTGTGGAAGGCAAATCTCCAGTGCATTCAGCGCAAGCACATCCATTAATGCACATTATGTGGACTAGTTGGGGGGAGGGGCAGAGATCCAGAGTGGGGGCAGGCACAGAGGGAAGGGAGAGGCCTTGCATGAAAGGCAAAGAAAGGGAGAGTGATGGAGGCAGAGGGAGAGGGACAGGAGCTGGGCTTCCCAGCTCCCCGGCAGCACCATTCTGTGCAGAGCCCTGCGTAGCTAACTGTTGCACTGCTTCATCCCCCTGCTCCCACGTGCTGTTTAAAAAAGGTGCATTTAGATTGAAAGGGGAGAAACATCCCTCCACCCCTCAGGGAGAGCAGCACCCCCTAGAAGTGCAGCTCCAGATGTCTCCAGTGCCTCCTGGTGCCCTCCAGGATGCCAGGGCGGAAAGGCACCATCTCACCAGCATCCCAGCTTGAGACAGCTTGGTCCTGGGGGAAGCATGAGCCCTGTGTAGAAAAGAGTCACCTCGCCAAAACACCTGCGAAGGCGAGGAAGTCCATGCCCTCGCTGGGAGCAAGCGAAGCCGATGAAGGGCTCTAGGTCTGGGGAAGCACTGAGTGATTCTGCCCATCAACAGCTGCTCACACCCACTTTCCCCCCCGCACTCTGTCTGTCTCTGTCCATCTGTCTGCAGCTCCACCCTTGGCATGCTTTAATTACATTTTAAATTCAAATCTGCAGCTATTTGATCCGCTGGGTGTATTTATAGCTCCGCTCAAGCTGGCTGTGTGGATAAGGCAGGTTGGGCAGGTTGCTGTGACATGTGGGGCAGGATGGGATTGCTCACTCGCTTTCCTTCTTTTCCTCCTCCTCATCGGATTATTTTGCAGCAGGACCCACGTACCCTCCCTCCGTCCCTCACACACACACACACTGGCGCTCTCTTAGGTTGCTTTTGTTTTTATTGTATTATTCTCTTGTGCAACAGGGGGCGGGAGAAACTAAGGGTGGCCTTGATTTTTCTCTTTAGCATTTTAAACACACACAGAGTGTTTGGGTGGGGGAGAGAGAGAGAGAGAGAGCTGATCCTTGGTCCTGTGAGTTGCTACCTCTACATGCCTGAGCCAGCAGACAAAGCAAGCACGGATGAAGTTGGTACGGTTACCCCGGGGCATGCCATTTCCTCCTTGGGTCAGAGGAATCACAGAGACTCCCCTGCCCCCTGTCCGCTACTGAGCTGAAAATCTGCCTCTGGGATTTAACCTGCTGCTCCTGAATTTCCTCCGCTCCTGCCTGTCTCACTCTGCTTCTTCCTCCCACCTTCCCCCGCTCTTCAACACCCCCTGGACCAGAGCTGGATTCTGATGGAACTGCCAAGATGTTCATGTCCAGAATCCTGGATTTTCAGAAGACAAGATATGCCAGGTAAAGCCAAGTGGTTGTGTTCTAATTCCTGTAGCTGAACCATTTTGCATTGTGTTTTGAAACCCTCCAGGATCCCTCCCAACCTCTGCCCTTCCCTAGAGGAAGCAGGGAGTGAATTCCAGGGTGGTACTTGCAGGACAGAGTGAATTAAGCTGACAGTGGGCCTTGAAAGATGCGGCGCTCCTCAGAGCATAGGGCACCTGCAGGGCTGACACCCTTGCTTTGTTTTCTTGGTATAACAAAAATCCTTTGCACTTTCATAGCACCTCTGCAGACCTGAATGAATTCAGGCTCACAACATCCCAGGGAGGTAAGTATTACTAATCCCATTTCATTAATGGAAAAACTCAGGTAAATGTGGCCCCTGATTTTGGGGTGTTTCAATATTTGGGTGTTCTTCTTGGAACACTTTGACCCAGGGTCATCCTTTGGAGTTGTGGGTGCTCAGCACCAAGGAGCAATCAGCTCCCCACAAGTGGTGGTAACTTGTTTTAATGGCTCAGGTGTGTTGGGATACATTACAGTGGCACCTGCTTAAGAGGATACCTGATGAATGGACAGTCCTGGTCAAGGGATGCATATTCTGTGCATCCAACCACAATACAATGAAACTCAGGGCATCACGCATGTTCAAGAAAGATGAATTCAGACTGGACTAGGTGCAGAGAAGGGGTACTAGGATGTTCAGTGGACTAGAGAGCCTATCTTTCAAGAGGAGACAAAGAATTTGGCTTGTTGAGCCTAGCAAAACGAAGGCTTGTTCTCTCAGAATACATTCAGGAGGAAAACACCAGGCAGGGAGAAAAGCTATTTAAGTTAAAGGACAATGTTGGCATAAGAACAAATGGGTACAAACTGGCCACGAATACACCAAGATTGGAAATGAGCAGGTTTCTAACCATCAGAGTGAGATCCTTGTACAGCCTTCCACTAGGAGTGGTGAGAGCAAGGAACCTAACTACTTTTAAGGTGGAGCAGGATATCTTTTTGAACAGGACAATATGATGGGGATGCCTGTGCTAGCAGCGGATGGGACGCAGTGACTCAGGAGATCCCTTCCAGGCCCATGTCCTACATTCCTATGTAAACTGCAACAGAAAATTATTGTCATGCATCTTAGACAGAGGAAATGCAATTTACACCTGAATTGTGCATTCTAGGCCTGAAGGTAGGCTTAGTGAGTCAAATGGAAAGTATAATACTTTATACAGTATCATCTGTAGCCAGACATAACGTAATGTTGCAGTGAAAAGGCTCTATGAAACGGTGTTTGAAAACAGAATTTCTGAAGTGAATTCAGTGCTGGGGAAAGGCGTGAAACAGATGGTAGCCCATTAAGCTGAGTGCTTTATGCACAGGACAGGGACACTACAGGCAAGAGCAGCACAAGGTGCCCTGCACACAGCTCCTTAGTCTGTGTGTCTTAGCCCTGACCTGGACGAAGCACCTGAGAGTACAGTTCAGTCTCTGTATCTCTTCAGTCCTTAGCCTCTCTCCCAGCTGCTAATGCCAATTCCTGTGGTGGGGGTGGTTTCTGTGAGGTGGAGAAAAAGCTGCTGAGTTGACAAATTCCAAATGGTTATCAGATTTCTATTGAAAAGCGGCTTTCCTAGTCCGTTTGACTTAGGAACCGAGTTTGAAGCGGATATACACAAATCCTGAACGAAGACTCTCTTCTCATCCTTCAGATGCCTATTTAAATACCATGTGTTCCCACTGACGGCCCTTCTGCAATTGTACTGTTCTCCCTATTTACGTGTGGGAAAATGGGTGAGTTACAGGGCGATTGTGGGTAATGCTTTGTAACCTTGTCCAGTACAGATCCTATTTTAATAACCAAGAGAATACAGAAGGTTTTTTTTACAAAGTGCAATAGGAAAGTGATCAGATCAATTAATTGATGTAGATTTTCTGGACACAGAACCAAAGTAATATTTCGGAAGCCACTGGAGCGAGCCCTCTTTAGAAAGTCCCTCTGTCCAGTTAGAGAAACTGATCTGCTAGATGTAACAGAATGCATTTTTTGTGCAACAAGTGTTGCATGTTGAATAGGTTGCTAAGAGCCCATTGTTAGGACTGGAATAGTGGGGGATGTGAGAAGAATGCGGCTTGCTCACTGAAAATAGGTGCAAGGCTCCTCTCTGTCTTCTCTTTGTCTTCTCTGGGAAACAGAGACTGGATTTAGGAGCTGAGGAATCAGCCCAAATGAGCAGCATTGTACTTTTTTGCATGTTAAGATGAAGCTTCTCCCACATATAACCTAAGGACCGAGCGTTTGTTTTTCAAAGTCTTTTAGCTAAAGTCTTTTGATAGTTCTTCATGGAGCACAAATGATTAAAATATATCACAGTGACTAGCTGAGTGCTAGAACTGGGCAGTGCCGTGCTGAGCAGGAGACCTGAGTTTGATTGCCCGGCTTGGCAAGATCTGGAAGGGCTGGGGACCAAAAAAGGAAAGCCTTGTACTTCAGAGATTTCAGGGTAGTGACCGCGCTCAGTATATATTGACTGGTGTTGAAAGGGAGTTCTTCAGCCATCGCTCCTTGGCTGGGAGTTGGAATCTGAGTTGGGGGATTTATGGAGAAGGGGGTTTAAAGTGCAAAAAGGGCCAAATTATACCTCACCACCATGTGTATCTCAGTGGGAGGAGAGTGACCTCATGGAGTTTCCTTGAATTCCCCCCCCCCCCCGGGTGATCATGGAGGAAGCAAGAGATGCAGCTTCCCAGTCCCAGGAAAGGGAACTGCTCCTTCCTCAGAGGGCCAGCCCCTCTGCAGCTCCTTTCTCCCCCTCCCCCGCCTTGCAGCATGGCTCCGGTTGGTGCTATTCTGCCCTAGGACTGGCTACCCACGTGTGCAGACATGGAGGCTGAGTTACTAGTGCTTCAAGCAGCTACCCATTGTTCATGGGAGAAAGATGCCATGGAGAGCATCTGCTCCCTTGTACATCTTGTTCCTTCTGCTGCATGGTTTGGGGGATGGGAAGCGCATGCTAAGGAATCCGGATCCACTGGGTTCTGCTGCCTTGTCCTTGTATAAGCAACGGGCAGGATGGGACCCAAAGAGTGACTGGTGGGGATCCTTTGAACACCCTTGCTCTGCCAGACCCACACATTATAAAGGAGATCATATCTTCCCACACACATGTAGTTCATAAGCTTCAGCTGCCATATCAAGATAACAGGGGAAATGCCATGTTTTCCTTTTCCACCATCAACAGGTGTACACAGTTTCAGGCTGTGCACCAGAGAGGAGCATTATGAAACAGAGAGGGAAGTTTCCCAAGAACCTGAGAGTGAAGCCATCAGGGAGATGCGCTTGCTGTGCATTTGAATTGGAAGTAGAATCTCCATCTACAGCTTAGCAGAGATGAAGCCCAAGGAGGAATGGAGTCAGATGTCCATGACCTAGAAAGTGACAAGAGGCTGGTTCCCTTTGTTGGGCCCTTGGACTTCTTCCCCATAATCTTTTCTGCACCAGGCATGACAGGTGTGGTGCCAGGCTTCTCCGGCAGCTTTCCCTGTTCACCAGCCAAATGCCTTGGCCGTAAGCAGCCAGAGCCTGACACCTTGTGTGATTAGATGGGAGCTGGGTTTGGAGCAGGCGAAGCGCACCACTTTAAGATAAACCATGCGCAGCTGGATGGGAAGCATGTTGTAGTGGCACATGGAAGCTCAGCACAGGGAATTACCCTTAACGGCCAGATTCTGCCACCCGTAAAGGATTGGAAAACAAGTCTTATAGTGAAAAACTCGAGCAGCTCAATCTGTTTGGCTTAACAAAGAGAGGTTAAGGGGTGACTTGGTCACAGTCTATAAGTATCTACACGGAGAACAGAAATTTGATAATGGGCTCTTCAATCTAGCAGACAAAGATCCAATGGCTGGAAGCTAAAGCTGGATACATTTAGACTAGAAATAAGGTGCCATTTTTTTTAACCGTGAGGGTAATTAACAGTTGGAACAGTTTAGCAAGGGGTATGGTGGATTTTCCATCACTGGTCGTTTTAAACTCCAGATTACATGTTTTTTTTAAAAGATATGCTTTAGTTCAAACTGGAATTAACTCCGGGAAGTCTGATAGCCTCTGTTGATGATCACAGTGGTCCCTTCAGACTTGATAATCTATTAATCTTATTCCATATGCAAGCCCATTGATTGCAAAAGGACCATTCCTGAAGTAAGACACCACTTACTCAGCACAAGTAACGGGGGCAGAATTGGGTACTATGGTAGGGAGAAGAAGCCAAGAGTACCAGTCACAAGGTCTGTGCCAGGACCAGTACACATGGGAGTGATGGGCAACTCAGTGGCATATCTGACTCAGGAAGGTGGGCATGTATTTTAGAAATAGGTACAGGTATAGCCTGGCCTCTCAGAAAGGCATCAGATGCATCTTGATACAACTTGGAGGAGGGTGGGAAACTTTCACTCTTGTGGAGTTGATTGGCCCCGGAAAATAGCATAAATTCTTGATCTCATAAGAGGAATTTGGAACGGATTCTTTTTTGGTTTCTTTTTTTTTTTCTGATTCAAGAGAACCAAGGAAGGAAGAGATTAATGTCAACTGGTCATCAATAAGTGCCCTGGAAAAATAGCCAATTGAAAGAACTTAAGCAATGAGAATTATATGAAAGAAAGCGATCAATGTGGGTGTGTTTTATGAACTGTCGGATAAGGCAGGAGAATGTTCCCTGCTCGGGGGCCAAGAATGTTGCCCAAGATTCATCCAGGGTTGGCTCACTTCTAAATGTTAAATGACTTCAGAAAGAGAGGGAGAAAGAAATTGAAGAAAGTATGTAACAGCAGCGAAGAAGAAACTGAATTTGATTCCATTCCATGAGCAAGAAAGCCCTTTATTCTCTGGTAGTGTATTCAGCTAGATCATTTGTATAAACAGGCCCCTTAGATAGTGTCTTCTGCTTTATTCAAATTTTCCACAAGAGCTTCCCTTTGGCACTAGCATGTCAGGCCCCCGGAACAATCTGACTAGAGGGCTCCCA